GAGGGGTGGTGTCCAAGCCATTCAGGAGGAATCAATTTTCAGGATTTGGCTACAGAAGAGCTCTACAATCTCATTGTCTTCCCCGTGCCCAGCTGCGGGGTTTTTTTCGGGGGAGACTTCCGCAGATACTTTCCATCCTTTGGTCTTTGAAGCTGGGTTCCCTCTAGTGGCATTAAGAGGAGCATCGATTCTGTCTTATTGACTGATCTTGGTCCGTAGTAGGGGCAGGGGGAAAAAGGACACTGCAGGGTGTTACCAGCTCACATCAGGAAACGTTGACTTGTCTTCATTTGGCTAGTAGCCTAGGACTTTTGTGTACCACAGGTTCTTTATTTTTTCCATCAGCTGTTCAGCCAGTATACTGAGTTTAGTTGTTTCTCTGATGAGGAAGTTCCTGCAGGAGACGACAGTGTGTGTGGTAAGATACACAAATATGTGAGGGTAATTCTGTCTGCTGTAGTTATCACACTGCCTGTCACTGAGGGTGCAAAGCTCCTCAGCAGTCCTGAAGGGATTTTCCTCAGAGACAGGAATAGGCAGTACGTGTTTGCCATGAGTTACGTGAAATTGTACCTCTAGGGTCATCGTGCTTTTCCTTTTGGGAGGAAATTCATTCTGCTTCTTTGAGGAATATGTATTCACAGCTAGAGCCAGTTCTGTGATTTGCATCGGGTGACAGCAGTGTTTCCCAGCACCTTCAGTACTCAGCTCCTCACAGACAGCACTGCAGCACCCTTCCAGGCAGGCTGATCCCCCAACAGCTGGAGGCCCCCTCCCTCCCCAGCCACATAAAAAGAGCAATACCTGCTATTCCCACAGGCACTGTCGTGTTCAGTGTGCATCCCTGGGAAGACCTTGCACTTCCACGTGAAACCATATTGTCCCACCCCGCTTCTATTGTCGTCACATCAGGCTTTGGTTGCTGATTTATTTCCCATTGGATCTCCCCATATAGCCACTGGATTAATCTTTTTTCCTGCTCCTCCCTCTCCCTTTTCACCCATGGCTCTTGCAGTGTTAGCACAGAGGATCTTTCCATACCTGGTCACAACAACTACTGGAGTCTGGGCAGCATCCGCCAAGAAATGACCGACTTTAGGAGACACCTTGTTCACAGTTTCATAGATGTAAGCTGCAATTGCATCGGGGATGACCAACCAGTCACGACGGTCTCTCTCAAAAATGGACTTTGAGTGCACTTCTGAGAAAGAGGAGGCAAAAAACCATGAGGCTTCTCCAGTCACTTGTGTCTCTGATATCTTCCCCCTGGCACAGTGGGAAGAGACTTGTGATTCTGAGATTCAGAGCCTCCCCCAGAATTTGCTTGAGCAGCACCCGGTAGCACCTTATCACTCATTCTGGGGCATCTAGGTCATAGGCCTTACAAGGCAGCAGGCACAGACAATACCCATGCCAAGCCCCTACCAACTTGTTTCATGCTGCCAAGCACTATGTGTATATGTATATATAGTCTTGAACTGTGTTATTTGGCTTCACTCCTATTTTATGGATGAGTTAGACTACCCTAAGGCAAGTGAGAACCCGTAGAGCTGAGCCCTGTCTCAGGCAGCCAGAAAGGCTTTTCAGACTTACCGGGGAGAGTGGTGCTAAGGAGCAGAATCAGAGCTATCAGCAGTGCCCTGGATTGCAGCATGGTTTGCAGCACCAGTTCCACTCTCTACACCAAGAGACCTGCTGGAATCACCATACAATGTTTTGTTTGTTTTCAGAGAAATAAAACATGTCCGTTAAACACTGGAATTTTGCAACAAACCTAACTAATAAATGAAGAGTACAGGAAAGATCACAGTGCATTTCCTCTGAAGTGAGGAAAAAACAGTGGAAAAATGAAGGTGTCCTTTTATTTGTATAATCACAAATTATACAAATGAATGATAGCTTTCAGAGCTCCAAGAAATATGAGACAATTAAACATACTTCTTTTATACGAGAGATAAATTTCCTTGTTTCAGCACATGATCAAACCACTAAAACTGGTAGAGGTCAGAATAGGTTCCCTCTACATGTACTTACAATTGAATAATTCATAATGTGGGATTTTTTGTTTAATTTTTTCTTTTTGGTAAATTGCTCTAAAGAACATTGTGCCAGTGAGGTCATTACATACAATGATCATCTTAGTGACCCAGTGATCTGAGTATTTTTTCTTGCTCTAGTTGAGGAAAGATCCAACTACCCAGCTAGGTTCTCTTGTCTTTTCCACACTGAGATTAACAAAGCAGATAGCAGCCCAGACAGAACAAGTTCTCAAAAGGGAGTAAGTGCAAACTTTAGTTTCATCCCACCTTCTTTGTTTTGTCTATTAAAAAAGCCAGAATTGGAGGAATATTTGAAAATTTGGTACTTCGTACATTGAAAAGATGACTTTACATCTAAACAAGCTTTTCAAACATGCTGCATTTAAAAAGGTGTTTAGAAGTTAAAACTGATTTATGCCCCGAATTAGAGGGCTGCATCACTCATGGCAACCATGAACAAAACATCGCAATGTTAAGAATCACAATGGCAAAAAAGACTGCAAGTCTGTTACCCGTGAATGCTTTGCTAAATCTTGTGCTAGACAGCTGCAAGTCAATGCTCCTTCTTATCCCATGGTAAAGAAATTTCTATTAGTTTTTATTTCCTTCTGTGCACAGATTATCTCCAAAAGCTACCACTCCATTCACTAGAGATTTGCTGACCAGCAGCAGTTGTTCTGTTACCACTCTTCCTTGATTTTTAATCCTAGAGCCAGTTTCTCCCTCTCTAGACAAAAGGTATAAATTTGCTTCCCAAGAGCATGAAGAGGTGATCTTACTCACTTTAGAACATGTAGGGGTGAAGGCAGCTGGGGAAAAGTTATGTATCTTCCAACACTGAAACTCTGCAATTCCTACTATGGGCTTGACTCCTATGAATGTCTTATGGAGCATCCACCACTTAGCCTCCATCCAGGTCACCTCAAGCACTCCCACCCTCCTCCATTTCAGCAATATTCCAGGCTATAGAGTGAGAGAAGGGCTCACACTTTGGCTTGTAATAAGAAATGGGGCAAAACAGAAGACCACCTCCACTCACTTCTTTATGTCCTAGATATACCAGTCATTAAGTCCATACCACCCAGAGCAGAGTTCAGCTCTTACCTGTCCTGCTTTCTCTCTCTTTCTCAGGCCGAAGATGAGGTAGATGCTCATCTGAGACACCGGCATTTATGTAGAGCTAATATAGTGATAGCAAGGGGTCAAAGGTCCTGCTTTGAATCCCCATTTGCTCTTTTGCAAGCACATGCAGCTCAGTGGGACAGGCAAGAAGCTGTGGAGGACTCTGGACCTGTTATTGAGATTTGGTAATGGAGGGTCAGTCTGACCTGAGCCTAAGAGACGTGGAAGGCAGCTCCTGGGTCACTGAGTCCCTCACTTTTGCAGGCAACCATGTCATAGGGGCCCCTTTCATAAGTTGACCAAATTCCACATTAACAATAGCTAGAGCTGGGCTGAATTTTGCTCCCACTGTTCCTGTGGGAAGGCCTGTGCTGTAACCTCTCTGCTCTGACAGTTGGAACTTGTGGCTATTATGCCCATTGGTATTTTATCCTCCATTTCCAACAAATGCATTAACCAAATGGTGCACAGGGATAAGGGTGCACCCCTCTCACATTTCTTCTTTCCCCAGAAAGACTATGCCTGTCATTTTGCACAGGCTGACAAGATAAGCATACGTCCAAGACAGCTGTCAAAACTTACTCAGAGGAAACATCCAGTTCTGGGGCCCCCAGCCAAAGAAAGACATGGACCTGTTAAAGCGGGCCCAGAGGGCCGTGAAAAATGATCAGAGGGCTGGATCACCTTTCCCATGAAGAAAGCCTGAAAGAACTGGGATTCTTCAGCCTGGAGAGGAGAATGCTCCAGCTCGACGTTATTGCAGCCTTTCAATACATAAAGGGGGCTTATAAGAAAGCCAAAGACTGTTTACCAAGGCCTGCAGTGACAGAACAAGGGGAAATAGTTTTAAACTGAAAGAGGGTAGATTTGGATCAGATATAAGGAAGAATTCTTTACCATGAGACACTGGTTGCCCAGAGAAGCTGTGGACACCCTATCATTGGAAGTGTTCAAGGCCAGGTTGGACAGGGCTTTGCACAACCTGATCTAGTGAAAGATGTCCCTGGCCAAGGCAGATCATCTTTAAAGGTCCCTTCCAACCCAACCCATTCTATGATTCTGTGGTAACTTCTCCCCAGGGTCCCTGGGGACATCATCACAGTCAGGTGTCTGCATTGCTGCTGTAGGGCATGTTTTCCCACAGCTCAAATTCCAAAATCCTGTTGGGTCCTCAGTCAAGCTAACCATCTGTATTTGTCACATGCAATCACTGAGCAGTAGGGGGAAGAGATAGAAAGGCTGCAACACTGAGCAACAAAGGTCATTAGCTAAGGGGAATGGGGAGGACAAGAGGCATAAATGAGGCCTACTGTGTGAGACCCAACAGACCTTCATTCTTAGGTCAGCCACTTACTTATTAGGTGACTGTCACATGTGGAAAATGTGAAAAGCTCAATCAGTATCTTCATTTATCAACCAGATAAAAATTTCTAGAAGACTTTTCTTCTCATGGAGCTCAAAGTACTTCAGAACCAAACAGTAAGCGTTCTCATTTTACAGACGTGGTAGCCAAGTCAGCAATTGCTACAGTGGGTCACATCATTAAAAAGGGCTGCCAATGGTTTTCCAGACATTTTCCCACTCTTTTGTTTTTATTAAAATTATCTTCTTTCTTAGAAAAACAATGAAAAAAGTCTCACAAAGTAAGAAAAAAAAAATCCCCTGTGCAAGCAAACCATTTTGCATTTTTAACCAAAAAAATAACAACAAAAAACTCTTATTTACTAACATATAACAAGATTAAGTCCAGAAGTAAGAACAGAGGATATTCAGTTCCATTTCTGGTGCAAACACTAAAAAGAAATTTATGGTCTAGGAAGAACACACAAGAGCAACTGGTTGAAAGTTCTCTTACATTTTAATATATATTTAAATGACAGTCATTAAAAGGAATCTCCACATTTACTATCTGCTTTTACAGCTGTAATAATATTCAGAAGACCAGCACAAGGCACATTATAGGCATTAAACTTAGCAGAAATAGCAACAAGCAGTCATTACTTGGGGGGGGTTAATTTAGTATAACCTCAAGTATTATCTCTCTCATGTCAAGCCAACAGATGGAAGGCTCTAACCATATTAAGTGGGTGTTTTAAGCTGTTGTGCTGCTGGAGGTAGTAACACAGAGGGGATGTAGCTACCCTATGTAGTAATATGTATCACTGAAGAGCTTTGCATTGTGGTTGTTATCACACAAGGTAACTTCCCCCCCTCCGAAGTTAGCCTAACTTTTAGCTTGTGCTATCATGAATACAATCCCAGAGATAGCAACTGGGCATTTCAGCACTTTGTACTGCCAAACAGGCACTTGCCAAGACCAGATCAATGATTGCACAAGAAGCAGCTGTTGCCCTCCATTCCTGGAACAGCATTCCAGAATGGCAGGGTGCTCTGCAAATAAGCAAGAAAGCCAGATATTGCAAGTCCTTTCTTAATCAAAGAAAATTTACATGAATATTTTAATCTCTCTTATGAATCTGGTCTGAGGTAGAAAGCAGCTGACAGGAGCCGCACAGACATCCTTATCTGCCCCATGTGGCATGGTCACTTACTCATTACATTATTATTTTAAATTAGGGTAACTCCAGTGGTTATCAAGGCACTTTATCCGAGACAGAAAATTCATTATTGGGGGTATATTCCTTCAACTGCATGACAGGAAGAACAGAAGTCTAGAATGGTAATAAGTCCCATATGTGAAATATATTAATCTTTTTTTAATCACAAATGACATATGAATATCGGCTCTTTTGAATGGCTGAAAAATTAAGCATGAATAAATTGCAACATAGAAAGAATGAGGCTAGGCTATTTCCTACTGTTACTTCTTTCAGTGTGCAGTATTTGAGCTGCTCCATGCTCCCTTTTAAAAAAAATCAAAGACTCTGTAATCATACTGGAAAAAAGAGTCCACATAGTATTGTGCAGTGCTGTCACAATGGCTTTCATTTATAGTCAATTAAAAATAGAAATAAGCATTCAAAGCAGAGCCTATTCTCACTTTTCTGTCTGCTTGCACTTGTAAAGTATACATATATAGATTTCCTTTGTCATTATTTCACAGTCCACCAACTAGTGTTTTATGAACCTCAGTTGTCTGTGGACCAGTAAACTTGCTGCCATTTCTGCTTCCCTGCTGGATAACCTAATCTACTTCTGTCACAGTTTAAAAAGTTATAGAATTAAGACTGAGATAAAATCAATTTCCCCTGAAGAGTTTTGTTTAATGTTTCTACAAATATGAACAAAGTGACTGAAGAAGAGCACAAGTATGATAAAGATAAAGCTCTTCAGGCTTCACACAGCACAAATTGTATTCACAAAATCTACAATTAGTTGCCCTTGCTCAGTTATGGGGACTAGAGGAACAAGTAAAGATGGAGGGCTACTTCATAGGATTTAGATTAAAAAGTGTAACCTCTGCAGTTAGTGTGCTCATACCACAGCAGCAAGCTTCAACAGCTGGAGGCATCTGGGTTTTCTTGCTGTGTGAGGGGGTTCTTGCTCTTGAGAAAACTTGCTGGACACATGTTGGCTTATACACACTTGAACGTGAAGGAAAGTGAACTCTCTCCTGTGCTACCATCTTGGGATCTCACCTGTAGCTTCAAACAGTCTCTACTCTTGATGGAGAAAGGGGCAGCCCTTCCCTGAAGCCTGGATATTTGGGCTGAGATGGCAGGAAGAAGTTGTCCTGATTGATGTATGGACCTATTGGAAGCATAAGGAGTCAGATTCCAAGCCAGCAATTCAGCTTCCAAGGATAGAATCTGCTACCCAGGGCCCTGGGTATCTGCTAAAAGTTGCCACAGGGCAATGCAAAAGTCAAAAGAGGATGCCAGGTTTGGAAGAAGGAGCCCCGTATTTATTTTCTGTCATTGCAGTCACCCTAAACTCCTCTTAACTAATAAAAATACTAGCCTATCATAGAAGATGAGGTGTATGAAATCCTCAGAATGTCATTAAATAAGACTAAAAATGATTCACAGCCACTGGCTGAGAACCAGAATCAAGGGTGATACTGGCTTTGCAAGTTCTACCCACTTACTGCAAGTTCTACACACACTTAATTCCCTATGTTTCAGATGTAACTCACGGGTCAGTTCACAATATTCACAGTTTGGGTCTAATTCAGACAAGAACTATGCTTAATCCAGCCTTCCTTTCTGAATTCACACTTTGGAGTTAGTCTTTTAGCTCTTTTTTTGTGCTAGCTGTCAACTGCTAGCAAACAGCTCTTCTGTCTTCAAAAGTAGGCCTCCAATTCTGGAGCAAAGTCATTCAGAGAAGCTAGTGGGTCCTCCTGCTTCATCTCCATACACAGGAATTGGAAATCAGCACTGTCAGCCAAGAAACTGTAGGAAAATGAACTCTGTGGTAGCCTTCGGTCAACCAGTGACTGCATCGGATATCCAACTAGGAGCATTTGCTCCAAGTGTGATGTTTCCCATCGTTGTCCAAAGAAAAGAAAAAAAAGGGAGGTGGGCAAAGTGAAAGCCTCTCCAAGTCAGTCTTGCAAGGGAAAGCGTAGACACAGCAGTAATTAGGACATTAAAGAACAAATAGTAGCAAGTGTCCCATGCGGCACTGGCTGGGAAATAAACTGGGCAATAGAGTCATTGATACTGGCCAGACTCTAGTGCCTCTAGGTTACAAAATAATTCACAAGATGCTCTGAAAGCTCCCTGACAACAAGAATCCAAGAAGGGCCTTTGGCAAGCCAGTTTCTCATGGAAGCAGCCAGCATCCAGAGAACCTCTCTTTTCCCAGCACATTTTAAATGAAAACAGTGGATGAATCACATCAAGGATAAAACGCAAGTTCTTCTTTGCAACGGGTCTCAGAGCATAGAGAAATTATGTGTTCTAGCTGCAAGGTGAGAGATGAGAAAACCCTGCAATATAGATCAGATGTGCTACATATGCACGTCAGGTTAAAAATCAAGGACAACAGTAAAAATGGTGACTGTAAGATTTCTTCAGAGCCCTTTATCCCATCCCATGATGCATGGCACAGAATGCAAAGGGAGAATATAAAATGCATGGAAAAGAGTACACAGCTTAGGAAAGCTATATCCACCAAAGCCATGCTTCCTAGAGTTGAAGGAAATTCTGGTCCGTGGTGTGAGGGGCAGTAATCATACCTTTCTCAGTCTCTGGAGGAGTGGCCAAACCTTGGGAAATTTAGACCTTTAAGTTTACAAATTCTAGTCTGGGTTAAAGGCTAGTACAAGTAACTTTTAAGGCACTAAGGTCTAACTTTGAAGTAGTGTAGGTTGTTTCAGTCAGTATTGGGTAGAGAAGCTGGCAGTTTGCAGATGTGCTAGTGAGCCCTTATTAAGGCAGTCAAACGTCCTTCCAACATTGTGACCCTTCTGTTTGGGAGAGAGGCTTAGTGGGGACAAAGGGAAGCAACTGCCCCAACTATGCTGAGCAGCCAGGCAGAAGCAGGAAACATTACACACTCTGAAGCACAACAGAGGGCTTTAGAAAGGAGATGCTGTGCCTCCCTCCACCAAACTCCCAGGGGACAGGGTCAGATGACCTCCAGAGGTCTCTTCCAACCTAAATTATTCTACTGTTCTATGACTTTACAACTCTGATGTCTGGAATCCTTCTCCAGTAACTGGTGTGCAAAGGAGTAATATTCTATGGACTGGGCGCCTTGCAGTGCCAGGGCACCTAACAAAGACATCTGGTTATCTCTCTTTAAAGATTAGGAATATACCATTTACTGAAAAAATCTGCTGTTTCCAATAGAACGTGTTCAACAGACCACAGCCTGTTGCAAACCTAAGTTTCCAAATCACAGTAAGGAAAAAAAAATGGGTTCTGTATTGCTTTCATGGGCACTAGACATAGATTCTTCAGAGTTGTAAGTCTAAGGGGAAGCTGCTTCCTCTGTTTTTTTCCTGGTTGTCTGTTCAATCAAAAGCAGCTGTCCCAACCTATACAGTAGAAAAGCTAAGAGAGTCCAGTACTGGCATTAAATGACTATGCTTCTTGCACTGTAGGAACTTCCTCTGTCCTGCAAGAGAAAATAAAAGACTCAGGAACATGGAAAGATGAATGGAAATCATATGACTTCCTACCTGCTCTAAGCACCATAACAAAACTATTCATACATATGACACACATCCCAGATGGGACTAGAACTGCATTTTCTTCCAAAACTTGGAAAGGAAAATGGTGATGTGCACAATACAGCCCTTTGAGAGGACTCCCTACCCTGGTAAAATTCTGCGTATCTGTGATACAGGACACTTAACATTTTTTTAAATTGTTTAAAAAGAGCCCTTCATTTTTTAAGGGGGAATACACTAATTTGCAAACTAGAAATTGGATATGAAGCTTTTCACACTTAGGTTGCTACCTGAAATCTAGTCCTAGTGTAACCTGACAAGATGAGCTGTGAACAAGAGCTGTTCACTGCCCATATAATGCATGTCCAGTTCTCAGGAGTCCCAACAAGCAAGTCATCCTCTTCCACCTGGCCTGGAAGATCACACATTTCACAGAATCATTCAGATTGGAAAAGACCCTTGGGATCATCGAGTCCAACCCTCAGCCCTACTGTACAAGTTCTCCCCTATCCCACATCCCCCAACAGCTCATCTAAACAACCCTTAAACACACCCTGGGATGGGGACTCCACCACTACAGCCAGCCAAGATCTTAAAGCTTATTTCACATAGCTTTAGCCATCTCACCTGGATGCTTTCCCATATGAACCATCTTAAAAATATTACCAAGATACTATAAAAATTAAAAGTTGGAGATCGATAATAGGAGAATCATGCACATGTTAAAAGAAATCAGAAGTAAACCAACAGCAGAGAGGGTTGCAGAGGGATACTCAGTACTGCTGCCTACTCTGGAAGTGCTTTTTCCCCAGGCAGGACCAGCAGGACAGCCATTCTAAGACCAACACATCCCTAGAGTCCCAAATGCCCTCGGTGGGGACAGGAGTGAGAAGGTGTGACATGTCACCCAGTGTGGGACGTGATAGGGGACCTTCTTTACTGGACTGCTCACTTTTCCCCTGAACACACTAGAGCCAGGCAACCCATGTCTAAAGGCAGGGACCTCAGCAGCCTCTTCCGTTTGGAGTTGCCCTCCGTTTGGAAGACAACAAACTGCAGAAAGCAACAAACCTTCACTCTCACTCCCCAAAACCCACCTCTTCCCTTAGATGGGAAAGCAAAAAAGGCAGTTGACTCACCGAGCGTGGCCCTGCGCTGCCTTTGTGCTTCTTGTCCTGACCTGGGGTGATTTCTAATGAGCGATAACTGGGGGGTTTATCTTCTGGCCATTCCCGAGAGCGGTGCTGCCGCCTGCGGTTTGTCGCTGGGAGATGGACTGGCTCTTCTGAGGAGCTCCATGACCCCCGGCGAGAAGGGGGAGAGTAGCTGTGCCGCCGCTGACCTGAGTTATTGCTCCTTCTAGTGTGGTGCTGGTATTCTCGCCTCCCTGCGGGCTCCTGTCTCCAGCCATGGTGGTGGCTGGAGCGTTCCTTGGCCTCCTCTGGGTAGAAACTGCAGCTGCTGCTGCTGCTCTTGGCCCTCTCCACCTGGCGTGGGGGTGACACATCCCGTCTGGAGTGCTGGGGCCTGCCATTGTAGCAACCTGTCCTCTGCCTCTGAGGATGATACTCTTGCTGCCTGTCCCAGGGCTCCCGATTGTAGCTGGACTGAGAATCCCCACTGGAAGGCAAGGGCCACCTCCGGTTTTGCCTCCTGTCCTCTGCTGCAGAGTCCCAGGCTCTTGGGTTGCGGGCAGCTCTCTGTGGCCGTGAGGAGTTGCTGCTCCCATGGATGGAGGAGATGTGATCAGCGAGAGGAGGTGGCATGATCTCGGAGCCCAAGGAGGACAGCAAGCTGGGCTGCTCGGCCTGCCGCTGCTGGGAGGGTGGCCGGAGCTGGGACATGTTCATGTTTTGGATTTCAGACTCCAGATAATCCAAAACACCCTTGTTAGGGGAAAACTGAGCTTGTGGCTGCATCAGTGGAAGACTGTTCTGCAGAGACACGTCTAAGGATAAAAACACAGGAGAATGCAGCAAGTCAAGAAGGAACAATAAAGAGAGGGCCCTCTGCACTAGTGGTTCTGGCTGAGCCCCTTCTGAGTCTCCTCCTGCTGCTCCTCACTGCAAGAGCTGGGCAAGCCTCAAGCACCATAACCAGCACATCCAGACCACACAAGATAAGGTGCAAAGAGTAGTAACTAATAAATTGCAGCATGATCTGTGTTTTGGGCAGCACAGAGAGGTAAGAAATCAAAGCCATCCAGCACACCTGGAAATATAGTTTCTATATTTAGAGAGGAACATTTTTTTCCTACAGCATAGATACAAAATTTTATTAAAAAAAATATCAGAAAAAGCTCGTAGTGTTTCCTCTTGTATCTCATTGAAGAAATATGAATCAATACTACAAAAGAAAAATACATTTTTCTATACATGCACACATACACACACATGTATGTATAGACGTAAGTAGAGAATTGAGAAGTTTCTTCACTAGGACACTGGTCCAACTCTGGAACAGTTACCCAGAGAAGTCATGGAACCTCCATCCTTGTAGGTTTCCAAGAATCATCTGGACAAAGCTACAGCTAATGTGACTGAGGTTGGTGCCAGTCCTGCTTTGAGCCAGAGGTAGAACTAGATGACCTTAGAGGTCCCTTCTACCCAACATCTCTAAAAAGCTGACCTAAACCAAACTTAAGGGAAACTTAAGCACAGGAGGTTTAAGGACTGAAAACACAAGCTAAGAAACTGCTTGAGGAACTTATTGCCCATTTTCTGCCAGCATGCACATGGATTTCTTTGAGAAAACTCCATGTATTTTGTCTTAAATTGTGGTGGCTCAGTCACCAGATCTTCCTAAGGAAAACTGGTAACTGTAGAATTAACTAGTGAGCTGGAAAAGTATATACTCAAACATCTTGAATCTAGCATTTAAGATGTTTGCAAACTATTTCTTCAAACAACAGTTAAGACTCATCAGACACAGAGTAAACTTGTGTCTGCTGTATAGTGATCAAAAGCTAATTTCAGATAAAAACTATCTTCTATTTATTTGAGAAGTCATGATGTCAAATTCCCCTATTTTCCTTGGGCGATTAAATAATATTACTGGTAATAAGTTATTTTATTACTTATTTCTCTAGGACTTCAGAGACTCCATCTTCCCTCCTCCATTAAAGTTACAAATAAATATCACTAATATAAGAGATTTTGGGGCAGAACAACTGAAAAATCCTTCCCAGTTCATTAAAGAGTCCTTCGGTTTTTGCTGCACGCAGGCTAGATCTATTGCACAGAAGGCAGTTTACCCTTAATCATTTGAAGACTAGACATTTGATAAGAACTCAAACAAATTGCACCTCACTTGTCATGTCAGTTTTGGCTATAAGGAGTTGACCGTGACCAGCACAGCAGAACAAAGAGACAGTACCCTCTCTACCACATGAGATAAGCTGGATATATTTACCCTGCAGTCACTGGGGTGTAGCACAGATATACTTTAGTTAGCATTAAACTACTAAACCCAGCACTGAGCCTAGCAGGACACTTAAGATGGATAGGCTGTATTTATCCACCCAGGCAAGTCTGTAGTAGCTGGAGATGTAGCAGAGCTGTCATGCTAGGACATGCAATCATGCTAGGAACACCTTTCTCTCTTGTAGTAGAGAGGCTAAAGCCTCACTGATGAACCTCCTGAGAAGTTACCTGTTTCTCATCCTGATTTCCCTCTGAAATGATGCCCGTGGTCTCACCTTGTTGCAGTAGAGGGTTCAGCTGGTAAGAGGAAAGTTGTGAGTTCCTATCGCCACCTCCATAGAACATGTTGGGTGCCATCCAAGGTGCAAACGCCTGAGCCTGCTTCATGAACCGATGCCGTTCCAGTACTGTAAAAGAAGATGACGAAAGCTTACAGTAGCTACCCAGAGAGCACAGCTTGCAGACCACACACCACTTTGCTTGATAGACTGTAGCCTTTGGATGTGATCAGACACATGAAAATTCACAGAATGAAAAACTCTCTCCGCCCTGGAATTTCCAGAGCCCTGGAAATTCCGATATGAAGTTGTACAACTTCAAAAAGATACAACAGAAGAAAAGGGTTACAGCCTGACATTTCAGCTACAGTTCCAGTAACTGGGAACAAATGGCACTGTGATTAAGTCCACAGCACGTAACTAAATGCAAGACTTCCACCTGCCCTGTCATTATGAGTACAGTTGCAGAAAGGTGGGAAATAATGTTTCATAGAGCAAGACATACCACACTGTTTTCTCTCTTAAAACTCTTTCAGCTCATCATTGGTCCTTTTGGCTTTGATTTACAGCTAAATGAGATCTCTTTTTGCCACTTTCATGTAGGCTCTGTCCAGATCATATTTTCCACACCGTACTCCATCATTTCCTCTCTGTTCCACAAATAGGACACTTAGAGATGCACTGTCCAGCTTCTCCCTTTCTAGTCCTCCAACCACTCTTGTTGTCTCTCTCTGTAGTTTACCTCAGCATGACTGCTAAAATTAAATCCCTTAGGACAGTGTGGTCAAACTGGTGAACAAACTAAATCTCCTGTTCTCAAGAGCAATGTCCATTGTGCCAAAAGAGCAAACTCAGTGGAAAAACTCCCTCATTTTTTCCATCACTGTTAACTCCAGACCCCTACTCATGGGGTCAGGCTCCAATTTCACTTCAATTTTTTCAGCTCTTCCATCTCACCTCTACACAGACAACCTCACCATCCCTGTCTTCAAAAACATTGCTGCTGCCTTTTTGGGAATACTTAAAAACATCTTACAGAAACTTACTCCTTCTACCACAGACAATCAGAACTTCAGTTTACGAGCAAGTAAATTCTGCAGGCTCCAGACCTTACAAAGCCTGACTCTGCATGGTTTGTCTGTCATTACTGGGTGAAGCTTTTCTGCAACATCTAAGGCCTTTGCAAAATTTCTCTCATATGGCTTCTCAGGAGTTTCAGAAGTGGCAGACTTTTATTGCAGCCTCTTCTCTGGTAAGGCATGAACAGAACATTCCTGGCTATACACATCAGGAGACAGATAAGAACGTAATTGCCTTTGAGACTTTTACCCCCCTGATAAATCTGGCTGAAGTTGGCTGATGAAATTAAAAGCTATTGGAGAGAAAGAGATAGGGGATAGACAGACAAGTTAACTGCATAAGCCTTGCTTCTTTAAGAAACCAGGCTACAGCTAAGCTCCAATTAATTCTGTCTCCTGGGTTCATCTGCAGCAGGCAGCATTTAGACTGCATGCTCTTTGGGACTGAGCTCTCCATTTCACTCCAGTTATTAAACGTGTCCTCCTCTAGCTGTTTCACTGAATTTATAGAGTACCACTTCCATCAAAACATGGATTGACCATGCCTCTCAACACACCCTTCCCTTTCCCCACAATTTATATGGCTCCATTTTGTTCTCTACTCCAAACTCCCTCCCACTCCACAGCCTGGCTCCAACCAGAGGGAAATACAAAGCTGGAAACCTCAGGGTTTTTAATCATAATACTCTGACTTTTCTACTCTGACTTTTCTTCAGAGCTGTGTGGCCTGAGATAGCAGCTTTCAAGCCTTTTATGTCAAATTTGTCTCTTCTCCCCCCCCCCAAGGGATTTTCCTCCAGTTTAGGTTTCAAACGTAGAGGAAGAGAGAAAGAGGAAAAGAAAAAGGATCAAAAGAAAGGAAAGGCCTTATCTCTTCACAGAATCATCTAGGTTGGAAAGGACCCTAGAGATCATCTAGTCCAACCATTCGCCTAGCACAGTTCCCACGTACAGCACATCCTTAAGCTCTAAATCGACGCTACTCTTAACACCTCCAGGGATGGGGACTCCACCGCCTCCCTGGGCAGCCCATTCCAACGCCTAACAACCCATTCTGTAAAGAAATACTTCCAAATATCTAGTCCCTGGAGCAACTTGAGGCCATTACCTCTTGTCCTGTTGCTTTCTACTAGGCTAAAGAGCCTCAAATCCAGCTCTCTGCAGCTTCCTTTCAGGGAGCTGTAGAGGGTGATAAGGTCTCCCTTCAGCGTCCTCTTCTCCAGACTAAACAATCCCATTTCCCTCAGTCACTCCTCATAGGACATGTGTTCCAGACCCCTGACCAGCTCCATTGCCCTTCTCTGGACATGTTCGAGCAAATGTCCTTTTTGTAGTGAGGGGCCCAAAACTGAACACAGTAATCAAGGTGCGGCCTCACCAGTGCCAAGTACAGGGGCAAGATCACTTCCCTGTCCCCGCTGGCAACATAATCCTGATACAAGCCAGGATGCCATTGGCCTTCTTGATCACCTGAACACACTGCTGGCTCATCAACACCCCCAGGTCCCTCTCTGACTTGCAGCTCTCCAGCCACTCCTCCCATTCTTCCAGTTATCACCTTGATAAGATAGAACATGCTGAATGTGCATCCCTAGGTTTTGACCACAGTCTTTGCCTGAGGAGTGAAAGGCCCAGCAGCTGTGGGCATACTTACTTAGGGTTCCTCTCCTTAGGGTATAAACAGTAACTAGGACCAAAGTCACCCTGTTATTGTAATTCTCTGATCTCTCCCTACAGCTAAACAAATGCAGAATTACCCTTGGACTTCCTTCATCCCCTCTTCCTTCCCCAGATACTTTGCCTTCCAGTTTGAACCCGATATATAGTCTGGTTCCCCAGCTGCAAAATGGAAGTAAAGTTACATATCTCTCTTTAAAGTGAACATATTTACCTGAGGAAGGTCAGATTCACCCTAATTCCAAAACTCAGACCTGCTGTAAAGCTTTGGCAGAATGTTGTGTTGTTCCCTTCACATACTGAGAAAGGTTGTTCCTTGCCTTTGACAGATTCTACAGCTGCTGGGCCAGTTATCCAATTATAAAAAAAAAATATTTTCCAACCTAGTCATACCCAGGTGTAAGTATATCCTATTTTGCACCAATTCATTAGTGGAAGAAGTCCACAGTAGAAAAGGAACTAATGGCAACAGAAGGAGGTCATATGTATATTTACCCTGGTGAGCTTTTCTCAGAGTTTTCCATAGAGAACGTAATTGGCTTGCTCCTGGAGCATGTTTCTGTACACCAATTCTGAATTACTCAAACAATGCACTTCTTTTATTATTACTCGGTTCAAAATCATGTTAGTTAATGACCTGCCTTCAAACACCTAGAATTACTTTGCCTCAATGACTGTTCAGCAGATCTAGGCTACCCTCTAGTGGCCAACAATTGGGCAGAAATCACTGGTACCCAGCTTGCTCCGTAACTCCTAAGGTTTAGTTGAGGATTTCTGCCTTCTCTTCAGCTGTATGGAACTGTTAATTCCTCAGGACTGTTTTTAAAGATGCCCTTTGTATCTATCTCCTTGTGGTTTTTAAGGCCTCCAGTTCAGCTGGAGTGCACAAAAGTAAGTCAGAGGCAGGATGAAGTGAAGAGAAGCTGTGCTACAGGAGGGGAGCAGGCACAAAGATCCCCTGCAAAGTGGGTAAAGAGAGCAGGCAGCTGGGATGGAAATCACAGCCACAGAATTCAGCAGCCAGTCAAGGAAGCTGGACTTGTCTGTACCTACTCTCGTGACCAGGGAGAGGTTTTGGAAACCCCACAAGAATCCCTAACAGTCCTCAACAGGAGGCAGGAAAGACAGCAGCAGTCTGGTGTGTGCTATCATCTTCTACAGCACAGAAAAACAAAAAAGAGCTCACACATATTCTGAATCCCTATTTTGAAACGAACTAGGAAGTCTGGAGGTGTCAGTCTTCCATCTCCATCACCTCTTTCTCCCTTCATGGAAACTAACATTTCTGCCAAATTTCTATAGCCTCCTCCACACCACGCATTTTACTTGACAGTCTGTAAAGCCCCCAGAAAGTGTTTTGTTTTTAGAAGCAAGAGGGATGCTCTGTTCGCTCTTTGCAGGGGCTAAGCAAATTAAGTTTAAATCTAAAACTCTCACAGCTTACTAACACCTAAGGTATACCAAATAGCTCTTTTGCAAGGGAAACTAGAAACACAGCTCCTTGTTCATAAATCCTCTCCTTGTAGCATCTGGGGAAGAAACTGGTGATTTCAGTGATAAGTAGATGTATTTGTTGTACTTTGTTCCTGTCAGAGTGTGTAAACTGCCTTGTGTTGCCACTAACTTTCAGTTACAGGAAGACAGAGGTTATATGACCTTAGCAGCCAAAATTCAAACAATGGCCTTATATTATGAGAACAGAGCCTGGCTGCAAAATCTTTATTACTGCTAAAACCAGCACACAACAAAGTTTCTCTTGACCCTGAAAAACCTCAGAATACATTTGGATGGTTGGCCACCAAGAGAGATAATCTTTCTCCTTTCTTTCTTCTCACTTCCCTCCACAAAGAAAAACAAAAGCTTTTTATTGTGGAAGAAGCAGTTCTGAAAATAACTTGAAGATAGAAAGTTCCAATTTTTACATAATTACCTGTCAGAACAACACACTTGAAGGTTAAGCCAGTTTGGAGAGTAGTACCAAGGCATTTGCTTGCCTTCCTCACATGCACAGGCATATGAACCACAAGACAGGGAATGAGAGAAGCTGGTATCAAGGTGTGAGTGAGGAGGTACTTCTGAAAGTAGGACACAGAGGAGCAAGATGGGCTCCACATATCTTAGCTCGCCTCCTCTAAACTCAGATAAGCTGGTCAGAGGTCACACTGGCCAAAGAAACATCTCAGTCTGTAGGGATGCTGAATTGGAGGGAGAAAGCAGAGCTCAGCAAGCTCCCAGTCAAGCTTTTGTCTTGACAGAAGCCACGAATAGATGCACATTTGCTTTAATCTCACCTTCCTCGTTGCAGCAGCACCGGGTGGGGCAGCAGACACATGGGATGTGGCAGCAGCAATACTGGGGGCAGCACTGGCACCAGCATACTCCAATCAGCAGAAGGAGGAGGAGGCTACCGAGAACGATGAGGAGTACTGTGAGCCAGTCTATGGGAAAAACAGAGAGAGAAAGAGGATCCTGATGTACCTGGGCATAGTAAGTTACTGAGTACCTCTCCACTGCTGGAGACATCTTGGGGGGGGTGGAGAGGGAAGAGAACAAGAGGAGACATCTGCCACCCAGGCAACAAACCACAGGCACTTACGGAGAACAATCAGCTTAACTTCTTTGTCCGCGTCACCTGAGGTATCTCCTGGTGCTTCCACAGTGCAGTAGTACACGCCATGGTCCCACCACATGACCTCACTGATGACAAGGTCTGCTCCTGTAGACAGATACTACTTTCAGGCCCCACTCTAAGTGGGCTCTCGGCCTGCAGGTGACATGTGGTACTGCATCTCCCCTCCTCCCAAGCTATCCCCTTCAAACAATCCTATTTGACTCCACTGACAGGTCCTGTAAACGGCATTAACCACCAGTCCCTTTTTTGTGTGTGTTGCTGGAAGGTGATGCTTCTTAGAAGTGGGACTAGTTCTGTGTGGAGTGAAATAACCAGCATGCTGCTGGGTGATGGATGTTAACAGATACCAGCTGCTGCCAATTGCAAACCTGACTGGTTTTGGAACACAGATCACTGTCCCGGTTAGGCCAGCCATCCCAACAACTCTTCTGGCAGGAGCAACAGCTATTGCTCCAGGGACAGCAGGGAGCATATAATACACCTGGACAATTATGCAGTATTTCTTAGAAGAACAAACTGTTCTCTAGCCTCTGGGCTCCTCAGTTTCCTCTATGCTCTTCAGCAAAAGGCTCAGGCATCCTCAGCTCAGCCTTAGCTTGTAGCACCTCCAACACCCTCAGGCCAGCTGGGGACAGGGCTCTTCACAGCCCTTACTCCATTGCCAACTCACAGAAGATGTACACTACAGAAGACATTAGCCATGTTTATGCTTCTCTTCACTTAGTAGGCCCAGATATTTGATAGTTACTGAGTTCACTGCCTTCCTGGGAGGTCAGATCACTCACGGTTCTGAATGGTGATCTTTCGTTGCTGGTAGTCGATACCCAGCACAGGCTCCTTCTGCCCAGACTTCTGGATGACAATGCGCACCCTTCGCTGGCTGTCATTGCAGTCGTCAGATGGGTCCTGGCCAAGAGCTAAACCAGCCTGGTATGCTACAAACACATATCATCAAATAAGATGCCAAAATTTATTTCAAAGAACCAATTTCTATCCCCTCGTGAGCAGCAGAGAAACTCTTGAATGCCTGTGTGCATTTGCTTTGGTTTAATAATAGAAAGCATGGCTTCAAACCAGCAAGGACAAGTTGCTTTGGAGTACTCAAAAGCAAACAGGGGTAGAGCCACAGGAATGGCAGAGATTTTGGGAATGCAGGAGCTGCACAGGAGATGCCTCACAACTGAAAGAACGACAGTAGAAAGAAGCTAATGCTGTTAGCCTGGAGGGCAGCTTCCAGTATGAAGATAAACTGCGAGGAAAAAAGGTCCTAAAACTCCCAGGACTGCTGAAACTAAACCAAAAGTGTTTATTTACCAAATCTCCAGGCATACATGAACAGCTGTAGGGATTGTCTCCCTTTCCCTCCTGTATCCCATTAGATGTCATGGAGCTTATAAAGACAGAGAAGAATCCATCATCCTATTCCAGATAAGGATTATGTGTAGAGACACCAGACCGAACTAAGGGAGGACTAGAGACAATTTTCTGTGCAATACTCTTATGACAGACTCACACTGAATTGCCAGGTATTTGGGATTTGAGATTTGGGGAGACAACTGACACAGTCAGCATTGTCTGTAAAGGGCTTGCAGTGAGGAGAGCAGAGGACTAAGCCTGTCAGAGGCTTCTCCACCACTGTATCTACAATGGATCATGAACAGAAGACCCAACTAAGCAACTACTGTGACCACGCTTTTTGTCCCTGTTGGGGACTATTAGCTTGAGCCTGGGCTCAAAGCACTCACGTTATGCTGAGATCAGCAGAGCCAGGGACCCACCTGCTTGTGGACTAGGCTGTAGAGCACTTGGTAACATGCCTACCCAACCCATCCAGACTGCATAAAGGAGAGTTTGGGCACTAACACCATAGAAGCCCAGGTTCCCCACTCTGAGCTCAGTCTTAAGTGTGTAATTAAGCTAAGGTTGGCCAGCTTAACTGGCCATACTGCAGGGTTTATACAGAACGGGAATAGAAATAGAAGTTAGGAATAGAAATAGGAAAGGAATAGAAATAGCTCAGTTGGAAGGGAAGTACATCTAGATCACTTTAGAACTGAGCAAAAGTTAAAGCATATTATCAAGAGCATTGTACAAATGCCTCCTAAATACTGACAGACTTGGGGCATCAACAGCCTCTCTAGGGAGCTGTTCCAGTGTTTGACCACCCTCTCTGTAGAGAAATGCTGCGTAATGTCCAGTCTAAACCTCCCCTGACACAGCTTTAAACCATTCCCACATATCCCATTGCTGGATACCAGGGAGAAGCACTCAGCACCTCCCTCTCCACTTCTCATCCCCAGGAAGCTGTAGAGAGCATGAGGATGTCCCTCAGCCTCCTTTTTTTCAAACTAGACAAGCCCAAAGTCCTTAGTCACTCCTCAGAGGACATGCCTGCCAGCCCTTTCACCAGCTTTCTTGCCTTCCTCTGGAAGCATTCAAGGACCTTCACACCCTTCTTAAATTGTGGGGTCCAGAACTGCACCCAGCACTCAAGCTGAGCCTGCACGAATACTAAATATAGTGGGATCATCACCTCTTTTGACCAGCTGGTTATACTGTGATTGATGCACCCCAGGATGCAGTTTTCATGCGATCTTAAACACTCCTGAATGAAGGCTGCACATGACAGAATGTCTGCACATGAAGTGTGCAGAATGTTACTACTTAGAAGTCCTTCTGCCCTCCAAAATGCACATGGTTCTTCTGCTTCCTAAAATCAATAACAAACTAGCTCTAACCATGGGGTCCCCCATGTAATCATAAAGTCCACTTGTCGCAGGGTCCTTGCTTTCAAACATGCTGAACCTTAAGATGAGGCTGCCAAGATTGACATGTGTCAAACATGGCTGAGCTTCTCTGCCTTCTGAGTTGATGACAAGGACAAATGAGGTGCCTTGGCTGGGATTTCTACAACATCATATCATAAAGCCTTGACACTGCAAAGGAAATCACAGACATGACCTATTTTTTCTTGGAGCACAGGGAAATACCACCACCTGACCTGGTTTGTGGGGAGGAAGAGGTCAAAAGCCTGTATTACACAGTAAGTCTACCTTCCTCTTCCTTTCCATTAGAAGAGGGATTCCTTGGAGGACACTCTTGACACTTACAGGCTGAGTAGTAGTCAAAGATGGGGTCCTTGCAGAAGGATTTGAAGCGCCAGGTCACCACCACGTCCTGCAGCTGAGCTGAGGTGCTGTAGTCACACTTGAGGACAACAGTGGCAAATAAGGTGGTGTAACGCTCAAGATCCTGCACTGTCACCAGGAGGGAGAGGCAACCTACAAGCAAGAACACAGAAGGCAGTCAGCCCGCAGGAAAAGACCTCACTTTACAACTTTCACTCAGCCCCAGACCAACACTGAAGAACACCTTGCTCCACCTCATCCAGAACCTGCACCTAAGGACCTCACCAGCCCCTCTGGTGAAGCCATACAAAGCTACAAACCCTGGTGAGTCCCATCTTTCCCTGACAGAAGGCAGCTTGAGCCAGCTGCGCTGTCCTGCTTTATAGACTAAATTATTTTCTCTAAAGCAACCATTTGTAGCCATTATATAGCACATCACTGTTCTTCTGCCTGGGGAAAACTGTCCCTCCAAGCTGAGGGAGATAATTCATTGGGCCCAGAAGCATAGATGGTGGAACTGCCTTCATCTGTCATGCTGAAAGTTCTGCAGCACCATCCATTCATATAAACACCAAATTAATTTTATCAAGGTCTTGCTTGGTCATCAGAATGTCATCTAGTGGTGACCAGGATTAAGACAATACAACTTTTGAGCTGTAGCATCATAGTTAATCTGTTTGTTGCCACTTCAGAACAGCACACATCCATCACCCCTTTTTTCCTTTTTAATGAAGTTCTTGTTATGTATGTTTAGAACTCAATTGTAACAACCTTCACAACACTTTCTATCCAAGCAGCTGCACCCATTGAGGAAGGTTTTACAAAGTTTCTCATAAACCATGATTTATTTTAGCTACACTCCAGAGACATCTGTATCTTATTTAAACTTTGATAATACAGTAAGTTGTGCTTGTCATTAACAATAGTGAAGTTATCACCAGTTGCCTTCGATAAGGGAATACAAACAGTGCGGAGCAAGTGTGGGATGCCCTTTCTGGAATACAGCCTGGAGAACAGGGCAGGGGCTGCAGTGCTGTGCCAGTTGCTTCTTAACCAGGGAGCACAACAGCAGGAAAGGAAAGAAGGAAAGAGGGAGGGAGGCTTGGAAGGTACCAACTGAAAGGGTCTGCATGAGCCAACACTCAATTTTTATTGCATATTCAAAGACTTCCCCTCTACTCCATGTTTTCAAGACAAAAGCAAGGGAACGAGGGACTACGTAGGAACGTCTAGATCACAACTTCAAGCGCCGTTCTTTCAGTGTCCTCTTTAGGTTGCACCTCCACAGTATGTTCCAGGCAAATACGAATTCACCCAGTTTCCCTCCCAGTGAAAAACATGCTGCAGAAGTGCAACACCACTTCAACAAGTAATTCTGCTGTAGGATATTCTCAAAGCAGTACTTGCTGAGTTTCTAGTTTGAAACGGACTCCAGGTCAGCCAACTCAAAATGGAGGCAGAGTGACTCATTTGCCTTAAAAATACCACACAGACACAGAGAGAAGCACGGTAAACTCTGAGTCTGAGGCTTTTTTGAAAAATAAAATATACACACATGCACTTAAACACAGAAATACCAGCAGCTGTGCAAACCTCTAGCAAAACCAAGGATCTCTAGTTTTTACAATGTTGTAGCAAAGCAAAGTCGGGACTGGTGACAGGTAGTTACAGTTGCTCTTATTTAAGAGCATTGTACTTCAACACATCTTATCTCGGCTTTCATTGTAAAACAGCTGACCCACAGGATCTTACTGCAGGAAATCACAAGAAACCAACCCCAAATCCAAATTCTCAAGATTGGCAAAACCTTGATCTCATTGTCAATCAAATGAATTCTTGCACAAATTCTGACCTGCTAAGGCTTGTGGAAACAGATCAGATTTTCCATGTGTTTCCTACAGCAGCATCTCTCCAGTAAGAATAAAATACTCAAAATCACTATGTGCTTTTCACTTACAGAAACCAAGCTCTTTGTGAAAGGGTTCCTTTCTCATTACTTCTGTTCTGAGAAAGAGTCAGAGTTGATAGAGAAGTTCCTTATTTTCTAAAGAGTAGGTTAAAAACCTACTGTTTCCATTGGAGGACTGTCAGATGTCTCTGCACATCCGATGTTTCATACTGACCTCCTCCAAGAAAAGCTGTGAAATTAAGGCTGGTTCCTGAACTCGGCCTGCATTAGTCCACTGCATGCTGCCATCCTTCTTATCCTGGTTGGAAAAAACAAATCTGGACACTACCAATCTAAGGCCTACAGCTTTGTGTTGAAGACACTAACCTTCAGAGGCAGTGAAACCAAGTTTTAGCTAGAACATCACATAGGAACACAGCTGCCAAGCAAGACCATCAACAAGCATACCTCTATTTTTTTTGCTTTTTTAAAAGCTAATTCTCTGGAAAACTAAACAAAATTGAACTGTAGCATTTAAAACTACATCATCGACGAAGACCCAAGCATCCAAGAAGCAAAATGATCGTGAGATTTCCTACAGGAGATCAGAGGATGTCGGGCAACCTGCAGAGCTTGGCAGGGAGGGTTCTGCTGGCGGAAGGTCGCCCGCGGGCACGGAGGTGAGCTCCCCTTTTTCCATACAAGTAGGTCTCTAGCAAGTGCGGCTCCCCGAAGAGGCCGGCTGTGGCCTCAAAGGCTGGGGTGGGCGCTTGTGGCAAACCGAAGGGCAACTCCCCTCCGTGTCTGTAGCCCCTGCTTGGGTCCAAGCCAAACTAGTCGCCCACGACCGATACTGGAGGCTGCCAGGAAGCGGGCGGCCACTTCCTCCTAGGAGAGCAGCTACTCGCACCTCTGGGTATCGAAACTCCTGCAGCCCCGTTCTCCCGCCCGGCCGGGGAGGACACCAAGGTGTTGGGGGGTGGGAACGGCGCTCGTCTGGCCTAGGCCAAGCTTTTATCTCCTGGCCGCGAGGCCGCTGCCGCTCCCCCCGCGCAAAACCCGGGGGGTTCCCAGGGGGCGGGGAGGTAGCTCCGAGGGGAGAGAGAGGGGAGGCCGGGACCCCGCTGCCGTCGCCCCACTCACCG